TCAGTTTCCTCCATGACACTGTACCATTATCATCATCCTTCTTGTTATTAAATATATTTTATGTTAAAAGGCGTTTGTTATGATTGAAACCCCGAGATCTGAGATCATATCACCGTATTTAATATTTCAGTTTCCTCCATGACACTGTACCATTATCATCATCCTTCTTGTTATTAAATATATTTTATGTTAAAAGGCGTTTGTTATGATTGAAACCCCGAGATCTGAGATCATATCACCGTATTTAATATTTCAGTTTCCTCCATGACACTGTACCATTATCATCATCCTTCTTGTTATTAAATATATTTTATGTTAAAAGGCGTTTGTTATGATTGAAACCCCGAGATCTGAGATCATATCACCGTATTTAATATTTCAGTTTCCTCCATGACACTGTACCATTATCATCATCCTTCTTGTTATTAAATATATTTTATGTTAAAAGGCGTTTGTTATGATTGAAACCCCGAGATCTGAGATCATATCACCGTATTTAATATTTCAGTTTCCTCCATGACACTGTACCATTATCATCATCCTTCTTGTTATTAAATATATTTTATGTTAAAAGGCGTTTGTTATGANATCCGTTTATTAGCTATATGATAGTAATGTTTATGTACAGTAGAGCGCCGATTATCCGAACTGCTCGGGACCGAACGTGGTTCGGATAATGAAAAGTTCGGATAATTGGAAAGTTGTTTAAAATCTAGTTTAAATGATTATTATTTATGCTCTAACTTCCCTTCACACTTTTTCCAGGTTTAGGACTAGCAGTACTATCTAAAATAACTCTGAAGTTTTTTCTCTCAATTTTTAAAAAATTTTTTTCTACACTTTTTTTTTCATTTTGAATTTTTTTAAATCATATTTCAGCTCTTTATAATTTTTTTTTTTGTCAATTACTGATTTTACCACTGCAAAACAACTACTATTTTCCATTGCAAAAGAAATCCAGCCATTATTTGTTTCAAAAAAGATCCTTTTTTTTCTTTGAGCATCCATATATCTCATTCTTTTTAAATAAATCAACTGAACTGGATCAGCATCCTTTTGACTTTCTAGCCAATTCATTGCAATATCTAATGAATTGCATGCTTCTATATGAGAATGTCCACTATCTTGAACTTGATCACCTGCTTCTTCTTCTTCGTCTGCGGAGTTCCGATTTTCATTCAAAATTTCAGCAACAATTTTATCATCATTTAAAATTTTAAATCCTGGGTCAAAATTTGAAATTTTCAGTGCTTCGACACCTGTTTTCTATTTCTTCTGCTACATAACCTGGCATCTTTTCATTCGAAAAGATCTACTGGTTCAGAAATTTGGAAAAATTGTTGATAAGTTAAAAAGAAAAAAGTATTCTAAAAAAAATTAATAAATAAAAACAAACGAATTCAGACATAGTTCGGATAATTGGACGTTCGGATAATCGGCGCTCTACTGTATATGAAATTTTATCTACTTTTTTCTGCAAGTAAAAATTTTTTTAATAAAATAAACCTAAAATTTATAGCTCAAATATGCAGAATATATAATTTCTTCTATTAAAAAATATCAGACCAAAAAAATAAATAAATGGATCTTATATTAGGAGTTGTTAAATGTAATGGCAAATATAGCAAATAAGAACTTGCCAACAACATTTTCTAACAATTAGTTTTAATCATTTATATAATTTCATATACATTTATATGATTATTTTAATATTATAACCTCCGAAAACTCTAACATCTCCAAGGTTTGTGAAGTCTGGATTTTAGAAATTTAAGCAAACTTAAGTTAATAGAGAAGTGAAAAGAAAAAGGCACTATTTTACTACATACCCGCAGTGAAATAGCAACTTTTTCTGTAGTTATTATAACACGTTTCTACATCTGCACAAATTTTGAATCACACATCCAAGTAATCATTAATCGACATGCTTAGTCTCATCATAAATTTGCATCGTTAATCTTAAAGTAATTGTTATGGATCTCCAATTTTTATTTTTAAAATCCCAATATTCATTATACATAAAGTACATACTTGTACTGTATATTGTACAAGTACATGTGAATTTTAAACAATGAATTTATAGGAATTTCTGAGGAACAATATTTATGATTTCACCTTACATTCCTCGTTTCAGTTTTTCAACAGTAATTGCTGTGGATCTCTCAAAATCTTGGTGCTTTAAAAGTACAATAGCATTACAACAATCAAATTGAGTTGTCATACTCTAGCAACAATGATTTTATTGTAAGTTGGTTACTTATTCAGCAGTTATTGTTATGGACTTTCAGATCTGTAAAATCAATTTCATAATGCGATGTTATTAAGAAACTTAAATTACTGCATCTTACTTCTAATATAAAATTAATTTAAATAATCCTTCCTGTTGCGAGCCAAAAAAAGATGGTATCCCAATCTGAGGTTACAGTGTACTATTAAACTATACATGAAAATATTAAAAATGTGACATATACTAAATTTAGATATGTATCGAAACCGAAAATCAAAATTTAACTTTTAAAATACAGTGGAAAGTCCCATATCCGAAACCATCAGGACTTTGACAAGTCAAGAAAATAGGTCTTTAAGGTAAACAAACATCAAAACATCCTTATTCAATAAAAAATAGACAATAATGAACAACACTCTCAATCAACAACGAATAAACCTGCATGGAGAGTGCTATTTTTGCAGCTTTTGTTGGATTTTCACATGGTTTTTAAAATCCCTATACTTAAATTTGTGTCATTAAAACATACTATAAATTCCGAAACACGCATTTCAACTAGTAATCATTTTCCGATCAACTTAATTAGCGACAATACCACAGTGAATCCACATGGAATTGCTGATCGTTCTTTTAGAAATTATAACGATCTATGAATTATGAATTGAGCTTTTGAATAATCACTTAATGACCAGTTTCAGGCGTGACTACTTCCACCCAAATCTCCAATTTTTCAAAAATGTGAAATTTTTGCACACTCTGAGTGCAGGGTTCCTGGCGGTTATAAACTTTTCACGCAAGGCGTGAGAAAACACAACACGATTTTTCAGTGATGTAGAGAAATGACAGATTTTGTTTCTGTAATATTAAATTTTTTAAAAACATAGAGATTCGATTAAAATCGAAAAAAAAGAGGGTAAAAATCACAAAAAAATCGAAATTAGTGGAAACTCTCATTAATAAAACTCTCCTCATTATTTAGTCCTAAAAAGACATCATACTTTATTAATAATCACTATTCATTTTCTGTTAATTTTTTATAACCCTTTTTTAAAAATTCAATGCTGAAGTGAGGCAGCGCATGGCAACACCTGAACAAACCAAGAAAACATAATTATTTCTTCTTTTTTTAAAAATTGGAAATTTTGAATTACGCATTGATAAACCAGAGCTCATTCTAGGCAGGGTAAACAGGGCGCAGCACCCTGTTGCCCTTATAGTCAAAAGAATCCACCCTTTCTTTCCTCGACCCTTCTTTATTTTTTCTCCAAACCGTACAATGGATTCCTTAAATTTTCAACTCTTTTTATTTAGTTTGTCATTGCTGTCAATACATAGAAAAAGGGAAAATATNTAAAAACCACGTGAGAGAGCTCGGGAACAAAACAGAAAGAACGAGAAAGATCAGCGGGTGTTTTATAAAAAGGGCCGCCGGCAGTATTGGACAAATTCAAGGACCTATCAAGTTTTTCAAGGACCTAAATTTAGCAAAAAAAATTCAAGGACTTTCAAGGACTCTCAAGGACCGTGGGAACCCTGTCCTCATTATTTAGTCCTAAAAAGACATTATACTTTATCAATAATCACTATTCATTTTCCGTCAATTTTTTATAACCTTTTTTTAAAAATTCAATGTTGAAGTGAGGCGGCGCATGGCAACACCTGAACAAACCAAGAAAACATAATTATTTCTTCTTTTTTTAAAAATTGGAAATTTTGAATTACGCATTGATAAACATGGTCAAAATGTGCAGATTCCATCGTAAATCAGCAGGATTTTTTAATCGTATTCTCAGTGGTTCATGCTTTAACTTTCCCCATAATTTTATGAAACCTTAATAAAATGAGGAATCTTAAGATTTGAACGAGTTTTAATACTGCAAATTTAATTTTATCATGCAAATCTATTACTCAGTTGAATGATAAAAGACAGTTAATGTCTAAAACAATGAAGTCAACATGACTAAAGAATTGATGCGGCCCTTACTTAGACAACCCTGCTGCACAAGCGGGCCCATTCAAAAATGTTGTACATGCTTACCCGCAAATAACTTTGTTATATAAATTTTATATGATTAAAATAAAATGAATATACAATGTCACTGAAGATTTGTGTTTTCAACATAACATTAAAATAAAAATTTCACATTTCATAAACTTGCTAACCAAGAGTAAACCTCTCTTTAAAGTATTATTTGAAGCTATTTATTATGCAATTGAATTTGTTGACTTCTATTTGAAATTATACTAAGAGGCAGAAATGTACCCTGTCACAACTATCTTCACTTAGTTTGGAGATATTTCCCTATCATGATTCCACCAATTATAATCATAAAGGCACCAAATGAATTTTTAATTTGGAAACTTCGGTCCCTTCCCTGATATTTTTCTTTAGCTTTTCGCAGGGTGCTGCCGGAAAATTACAAAGACTCTGCAATTTATGCAGCAGAACATGATACGAACCCCTCTTCAATTTCAAGAGCATGGAAAGTATCTCAAATAGTAAAATTATATCAACACTGCACTTTTAGCCCCACCATTACTTTGTTCACTTTCTAGAAATTAGGGGTCAGAAAATAAATACCACTTGTGCGTGTTAATCAATTACAAAGCATTTTCTAAGTAATATTTACACGTGCAATCAATTTGTTAACAATATCAAATGTCAATAAAATTAGTGATCACATGCTCAATCATTATTACTCTTTGTTACTATATCAATGATTCCAATCATAAAAACTTAAAATAATACTTATTAAAGCTATGAATAACTTACCAAATACTGAAGTTAGTAATGCACCGGAGCATGATGAGATCATTTGTTGAAGAGGAGTAATATTAGTTTGGAGAAGATTTGAGTTTGCCATCGTGTGGAAAAATTTTACTTTAACGTTTATTTAACAAATAATTTAATAAATTTAGAGTCATTCCTAATGATAATTACTACTTTTTACAATAAGTAATAAAGGTGGTCGGAAGGATATATAAAACATCATGCTAAAAAAAGGTATAAACATCTCACACATCCTTCATGTAGCTTTTGCAGGTAATACATGAGTTTTATGTAACTTCATTTCACTTCTATTTATAGCCTTTTTGTTTTGATTGCAACCAATTTGTGTTGCCAAAACTAATAGTACTAGGCATTGAAAATGTTAAAACAATTATTTTGAATTTTTCTTGAAATAAAGTTTTTATCTAAGTTAAAAACACATGAAATCTCTAAAAAATTTAAGATATTAAGAAACTCTTCCAATTTCCTTAGTTGAACTAAAAAAGCTACAAGCGTGGGAATCAAAACATTATAATCTGGAAGATTACGTCATGTATTCAAATGGACCTCAGTAGAAAAACTTTTCCTGTCAATATGATAACCAATTCTTTGCCTTGTGATGGAAATGAGATAATGGACGTCCAACAAAACGATTCTGAAAGACAGGAATCACAATATGATGATGATGAATTGGAACGTAAACATTTTCAACGTGTGGTTAATGCATTTAGAAGCTATAAGTTAGCAAATAGATTTTTTTTTTATTGTTTACCTCTGTATAGTAGTAGATATAGAAACTGATAGTTAATTTTTCTATTAAAGTTCAGTTAATTTTTCTATTAAAGTTCATTTAAAAAGAACTTCACTAGTATGATTGGGAATTGAAAAATTGAAGAACATATAAAAATAGACATTTTAATTATGAAGTTAATTATGAAATAACATTCTAATATGCATAATTTATAAGTGTTTTTTTCCTGTACTATGGCTCAGAGATATTACTTTCCTTTCTGATTGTTTTGAACCAGCTTCCGAACGTAAAAATTGTTCCCTAGTAAAAGTGATAAATCACAGTTTAAAATTAAGAGTTTTGTTGAAGTTAATATTTAGAAAGCAGTTGATATTCAGGGTTGGTTTTAATGATAAAATGGACCTGTTTATATTTTCTTCACAGCTTGCAGCAGTTCATTTCCACGAAACCTTATAAACAGCAGTATATTATGAGTTTAGTTAAGAGTTCTAAATTTGCATAATTTCAGACAAACCACCTTCAACTAACTAAAAAACACCTAGAAATTTTTTTTGTATTGAGATCCAAGTAATGAGATACCTAAGATGAATTGAAAGTTCTAAATTCATCTTTGAAATAAAAATAATTCAAAACTATTTGTTTCTTAAAATTTTTTTCTTATGTTTTTTACTGATATTTTTATGAAGTACAATAAAATACATTTAATAGGTAGGAATACCAAAAAATATTTATAATGTTTAAAGAACAATATTTATAATAAGAATCTATAAATATTTTTTTTATATATATATTAAATTGTTTTAAATAAAACTTATTTATGCTAGCATTGAGGAATTAGTATTATATAGTAATGTAAAAATTTAATGTATAGTAATCTAAAAATCATAGGAGCTATGGTGACTAAGGATTTTTTAGCTGTCACTTAAAATTTTTGAAAACCTAAGCTGAAAATCTGAATTATTTTGGAAATTTTTGTGAACATAACATTAGGCCAAATCATTTGTATTTTTCTTCGGTTACTAAAAGGCATATTTCAATATTATAGGGTGACCCAGGGTAATTCACGATCACTCTGTTTTTGGGGTAAATGATGATCACCTAAGTTTTATTTTAAAAAATAATTTTTTTCTAAATTTGAGACATGGACAAGAATGCTTGTACACTTTACTAAGGTATAACTACATTTATTTAATAATATTTTTTTGTTTAATCTAACAAAATAAGTATCTTTTTAACTGCTTTCTGTATTTTCCATTTCAAAGATGGATTTCAAAATGTGCATCTTTCTTTCAAAGATCTCCCTCCTTCTCTTAATAATAAATATTTTGAGTTACTTTCTTTTTCTTTGATATGAAAATAGTGTAAGCTCTTGTTTAATTGTTTCACATCTACTGTAAACATTATAATTGTTTATAGCATTATATATCAAGTGTTGCCCCCTGCAGATGGGGTAATTGTTGATCACTGGGGTAATTCCTGATCATTGTCATTTCTTTTCATAAATAGTATGAAAATAAGCAAATAAATAGTTAATTGTCTTTTCTTAAGTAACAGTTCATATTTATCAAGTGGAACGACTATAAAATATATTTTAACTCAATTTAATCACAAAATTTGTTTTTAACCGTATGCTAGACAAATGTGTTCCGATTTGTCTTACCTTGCATCTATCTTAATTTTATGTGTGTACATTGTTAGAATAATTTTTGAGTTTCAAAAGTAACCCATGTGGGAACTCTTTCTTATATTCCAGCAGAACATGAGATTGAGTTGGCTGCTTGCCTAAAATGTATGGCACGATACAAAGATTTTTGGAAAATTTAAAGTGTTCACCTTTATTTTTGCTTTTTAAATAAATCATTTTATTAGCTGCTTAAACATATATTTTTGGTTTATTTGTTTGATCTTGATGTCTTATTTGTTAATTACCACTGTATAATTATTTTTAAACAGCCCTTTTATGATTCAAACTGGTGATCAGTAATTACTTCAGAAAGGATCAAGAATTACCCCAGAAAGGATCAAGAGAAGGGGTAATTCCTGATAACTAAAAATTTAAAGTATTTTAAATTCTAATTAGATTTTCAAACAAAACAAAGTAGCCTAGGACTCATCTCATATAGCCTCAAACTTCCAGTAAATATTATAATTCTATCTTGAATAGTTTTCTTACAAAATAGATGTTTGCATTTTTTGATCAGGAATTACCCCAGGTCACCCTAATGGCTGAACACAGGTCTTATGAGTCTTGGGTCAAAATTCATCACAAGATCTTAAAATTCGTCACAGGATCTCTAAAACGCACACACACACACACAAAAAAATATAATTTTCATGATTTGTAAACTATATGAAAAAGCTTATTTTAAATGGAAATTCACTACTTGATTTTTAAAATATCCATTTTTATAAACGTATTGAATTCATAATTTTCAATTGTTTTATTAGTGCATATTTTCTTAGTGCTTGATGTTTATTGGCTTATGTTATTAATTATTTCAGTTGTGATAAGCTTAATTATGAGAAAAATTTTAAAATATTTTGAATATAATGAAAAAAAAATAAGGTAATGTGAGGTTTTGAATACAGGGGTCTGTCTAGGTTTTTCTGAGAGATACCTATTTTGTGAAAATTTAGACATAATTTCTGAAGATTAGAAATTATATTAAAAAATCAACACAAAAATATGGATTTAACGTTTCTTACGGTATACAAAAATAAAATTTTAAGAAAAAGTATTTTGTGAAACTACAGTTTTTCCTGAAGTTGAATTTGTGAAGGTACCGCTAAACGGTAGTAAGTTTGGCATGGACAGACCCCTGAAATATAATGAAAAAAAAAATTCTTTACCTATTTTTTTTAATAAATCATTTAATTAAAAAACATGACGCTTTTTTTTTGCAGAGTGTCAATTGGGCCTTAAGTTGGGGCTCAGTAATTTAAATAAGCTTGATTTAAACCATAATTAAATTGTGGTTTAAAGTAAATCAATAGATTTTTTTAAAAAGAAAGACATACTAAGGCCGGGATAGCCTGGTCGGTAGGGTGCTGGGCCCATGTCCAAGAGTTCGTGCGTTCTGGCCGAAGACTCCGCACGTAGTAAATGGTGACTGATGCTCATTAAATCTGTCGAGTTTCACAGTCCTCCATGTTCCCATTACAAATTAATGCCTCTGAGGATACTACCCAGGAGTTTCCTTGTGTTCTGGTTCGAAATTTTGAGGCTACGGAGTTTAACATCAGTAGTCGTAAACCCAAATATTGGGTGGGCTGTTCAATGACGTATATATATATATATAAAAGAAGTCATAGATTTAAAAATTTTCAAAGCATTTTAATGTAAGATTGTTTAAATTTTTTTATTGATTTTCATAAGTTTGAAATGTATTGTTGTGTTAATAAATTTTAATAATCCAAATTTCATTTGTAACTTAGTGGGAAATGAATTGAAGCATTTTCATAAGTCTATAATGTAATATTTTAAAATTTTTTATAATTTCTGTGTGGATTTTTTTACAACACAAACAAGGACGAAAGTGCAAATATATTACAATTATAAATTTTTTTAAAAAAATATTTAATAATAAATTAAGAAAAAGAATATTTTGATTTTTTAGCAAGTTTCTGACCATAGGTTGTTATGCAAATCTGAATTGTTGTGATGTCCCCTTAAAGTTTATCCTCATAATCCTGGGACATCTTGTATATTATCTACATTTATTTGTTTAGATTAACTAAGTTAATTATTTATTTTTACCTTAGGATACATAGTATGAAAAGGCTTTATAGATCTACAAAATATATAAGTTCTCTGTCAACTCATCATCAAGACTTATTAAAAGGTTATCGCTCACATCTTGATAAAGTTCGACTAGCTATTGAGCATAATAGTGAAATTATAAAAGTTATTATTAAGGACGTTGCACATTTGTTTCAAAATGCTGACCATACAGATGATATTGTAAGTAAATATTCCACAATTGTTAGTATAGTGTGAATGTAATTATTTTTTTAGTTTATTTTTAAAACACATATAATTTATTAACAATTAATGTGTTGTATAAATTTAAGTTTAAGATAAACTGAAAATAAATTTCTTTTCAGCCTATTATAGGTGCCCAGACCTTAAAGGTGCTCTAATGACCTTTCTTGATTTTTGACCTAAGTGTTGGTTAGTCATCAGACATTTCTAGCACTTTTTAATATTTTTGATATAATTATCTTTAATGTATTGTCATATGTTTTTATTTTAGTTTGATGCATTGCAGTAATAGCTTAATCTGGCTCTTGTGACATTAAATTCTACATTCAATAAATTAGAATATTTACAGCTGTTTGTATTATACTTTAAAATTATTATAATTGTTTTGTAGCGAAGTTTATGTGTTTCGTTATCATGTCTGTAAAAATTTCTTAATTTAAATTTGTAAAATTTTTTATGGTTTGTTTTTATTAAAATCTTCTTGAAAAGTTTATTATAAAGTTTGACTTGCAGTTGTAAAGCATTTTTAATATTGTATTTGTTGTTTTTATAAATTTGTACATAAGATTTTTATTTTATCACTTAAAACTTGTTCCAGATTTCTTGGAGTTTATATTATAATTCAGGGGTCTGTCCAGACCGAATTTACTACCGTTTAGCGGTACCTTCACAAATTCAACTTTAGTAAAAACGGTAGTTTCACAAATTTAATTTTAGGAAAAACGGTAGTTTCACAAAATACTTTTTCTTAAAATTTTATTTTTGTATTCCTTAAGACATGGTAAATCCATATTCTTGCCATATTTTTGTGTTGGGTTTTTAAATATAATTTTTAATTTTTCACAAATTATGTCTAAATTTTCACAAAATAGGTACCTCTCAGAAAAACCTAGACAGACCCCTGTAAGTATAATAGTTTTTACTAAACTTGATGTTAAACCTCCAAGTCTTATGATTAAATAATTTCATTATGTATAAAAATAGGTAGGCTGCTGTCATTCTGGTATTACGGTACACCTTATCAAAATCCATTTTCTTTTCAGAAAATGTTTTTTTCCTTTTTTTTTTAACCAGAAATGTAATTTAATTTTTCAATAGGAAATATCTCCTATTTAAAATTATTATCTATATTTCTTTAAATTAATTGGTATGAATTGTTAGATCTGAATTAGGTAAAGAGGATACTACCCAGGAGTTT